GGGGGGGGGTCGGGGGAAGGGGTGGGGCTAAACATCTAGTTGCACTGCCATCCTACTTTTTATGAGCATTTATTTTTTCTATTTTTCTAATTTTTTTCACTCCTTTTTTGCATGAGTAATCAAGAATCAGGCATTTGATACTTGAGTTCAAACTTCGTAGATCAAAACCTTTTTGTGTCAATCTAATTTAAACATAAGTTAAATTTCAATAGAATATTATTATTTATTGATCTGTTGGCATTTAGAATTATGTAATAATCATATGCCTTACCTTGAGAGTTATAGTAATATTTATAAAACATTGCAYGTTTGAGATTTGTAGTATTAAGATAGTATTTATTTATTTGATAGATAGTGATAGAGGATCAATTGTTTTCCCCCAAAAAATTAAATTTTGGGTTGGGAGTAGTCTTGCCTGTCTAAGGCTGCGTTCATAATGCTTTGCAAAGGGGGGGCCTGTGAAATTGAGGGGGGATCGGAAAAATTTTGATAGGAAAAAGGGGAGGATGGGCAAATTTTTATCAGAAAAAGAGGGGGATGCACAATTTTTGGAAGAAGCTACAAGCCTTGCTTAGGGGGGATCATATTTTTTTGCATGACTTTAAGGGGGGGTGTTAAGAATTATTCTGGACATTTCAAATTTTCACCTTCCCCCCCTCCCTCCCTCTGCCATACATTATGAGCGCAGCCTTATGTGTCATGCCCAGTTTATTGGACTGAAGAGTGGGATCTTAGGGCGCTTTCCATTAAGTTGGAACAGATTGGTTTGAGTGGCCAGTTCTCAGTGGTATGCATCAGTTCTTAGAACTGGACCAACGTGGCCTGAAGCAGTCCTAAGAACTGACACAAACCATTTGCGAACTGGCTGCTTAGGCCAATAGGTTTGACTTGATGGTTAGCACCCTTGGCTACCCTATTTTCCATTCCTCCTGTCCATCTCCTAACGTCATGTCCAAATGCCAATAGTCTTGATACTTGGGCTTCGAAGATTGGCTATAGCCCGTCTCTAGGGTGAAAGTGGAGAAATCCCCCACTTATTTGAGAGAGATTCCTACTGGCTGTGCACATATTAGGGAACATGAAATAGTATGATTTAGGTGGCTCGCCTTGGTAAAATGGCCTAGGCAACTAGCTATGCTACCTCATCTGATTTTTTGCTATGGGTTCKGGTTGGGACAAAAGGTTTATTTAGTTTCCCTTTTTTAGAGTAAAGTATTTAAGGAGATGATAAATATTGTAGATACGAGTCGACTGCATGTTAATATAATTTAAAGAAAGGTTTAATAGTTGGGATTGAACTYGTTATTAAAGTATGATGTTGAAGAAGCATTTCGTTATTTTGACTATCCAAGTTTTATCAATACCCTGAAAACAACACATCAAACCCTTGGACAACCACTGGGCTGATCAAAGTCGGGGCAAGGCTAACTCACAGATCGAATTGGAATTTAGCACATCAGGCTTTGTTGAGGGACTGAAAAAGGAGAACCCCAAGAAAAATGAAAACCCTCAAGGGAGAAACTTAAAAAACTCTACTCATGTAGTGCCGAGTCCAGAAATTGAACTCGAGACCCCAGAGGTGAGAGACGAGTGCATTTATGACCGTTTACTAGTAAGTGTATCTGTCACGGCAGTATCAGAGCCTTCAGATGCATTACTGCATGTACAGAATAGCTTTGTGCTACAGATTTTTTGCATGCGCATGGGCAACTGATTGGTTCAGCAACTTGACTCGAGAGAGGAGCACTTAGTACAGACGGGTTACCTAACCCCTAACAACTCCTAACATTCTTCGTTTGCACGTTACGTCATCATGCCCATGTTGGTACCATTTAACAAAAGATTTCTCATTAGCATCCATTGTTAACGGTACCACAATGGCCACCATGTTTTTGTCTTTTAACTTTTGAACTGTTGACCAAAGTTTACTTAAAGCAAAACAAAAACCAGTTTTTCAAAGTTTTTCCTTTATTTCCCCCACATTTTTGTGAAATAAACTTAAATTCCAAAAATATATTCTTCAATTAAAATTAAAATTTTCAACTATTTAACCTTGTAAATAAACAATTATTAAAACCTTAATTTATGAMTTCAATTAAAAGAGATGTTWAGCAAATTTACCCCTTATGGTTCAWTCGATTTTTGAGAAAAAATACAAAAATACAAATACTCCTAAATAATCGGAAAGTAATCGGGAAAAAATCGGAAAAAAGGGAAACTGAATCAATTTGCTGAATCAATTTTGATCATAACAAGAAGGGTTCAAAACAAATTTTTTGTGTCTTTCATCTCGGCAATATTTTGTCTGTTTTTCTGTCCTGTTTCGTTCGCATGGTACTCGTGTTTGTCGCTTGGTAATCGTGTCCTAGTCGTTTGGTATTCGTGTTTTGGYCGCTTCGCAATCGTGTATCAGACGCTTGGCACTCGTGTGGTGTTCACTTGGTACTCAAGTGGTGTTCGCTTGGTACTGGTGTGTTTTTCAATTTGGTACTCGTGTGTCACTCGTGTGTTTGTTGCTTGGTACTCGTGTGTTGGTCGCTTGGTACTCGTGTGTCGGTCGCTTGCCACTCGTGTGGTGCTCGCTTGGTATTCGTGTGTTGGTCATTTGGTACTCGTGTGGTGCTCTCTTGGTACTCGCGTGTTTTTCAGTCGATGGTAATACGTGATGGGTTATATATTTATTGTGTATGGTACCCGTACGTAAGTCGTATATATTCGTACATCGTCGAGTAGTATTCGTATTTTGGTCGTGTGGTGTCCGGTATTTGGTCGTGTCTTACATGTTCACTTATGACAAAGCATTGAACTTTGCGTTTTCCTCGTAAATTCCTTGACAAAAAAAAAATGGCCTAAAAATGTCTTTCAAATAACAAAATTATAAAAACTTCGAAAAACAAAGTATTTGTTTCTACACCTAAAATCAAGACTACGTACATTCATCCTCATATTCATCCCTATACCGTTACATACTATCATATATACACCTATATATTAATCCCTATACTGTTACATACTATTATATATACACCTATATATTATTACATTCATTCTATACTAGCTACCGTTACTCCGACATGACCCACCAAGTTCACTATAACATTATTTCCTTTTAGTTCTAAAGACTCCTCTTGAAATGATTACAATAAACTCGAGAAAAACTCTACGATGATAACATTCAGGTTTAGGGTTACTGACCAGGAACAAAGCTAAATTTACAAAGTCAGCTCCACTAACTTGTCTAGTCTAGTAGAGCTTCAATCGAAGTCCCTCCTCTTGAGTGTCGATGTTGCGCGACGTATAGCAAAACCTGGTGGCTTGTATGTTCCTTTTATTTAGGATCCCAATGGTCACCAATGACTTTAGTATCTAAGAGTTGCTCAATACAAAGCGATTTCTGTTTAGCCAAATTTACAATCTACCTTCGTCGAAGATAAACTTTCAAGTTAAGTAATTTTTTCACAGATTTATTGAAATTTCTATCAAGATGAAAAATYGTATTCCGATAAAACCCCATTCTTGAACCAATAACTTAGTTGAAAACATAAATTTACTTGATATAGATACATATCTTTGAGAAATATTATTTAAATAAATATTGAAATATTTTGATATAGTCCTGATGTTTGGCTATGAATGAGATTGAAACCGAAATTTCTCTTTCATAATAAGTTTTAACTCATATTCATAATTGTGATTTTCGGTGGAATTTTTTTCTTTGTTTTATAATCTCTTTACTCTACCCAAAACACCAGACCATCACGATCCTGATATTATATTTGGCAAAGGAATACTTCAGTTAATAAATAATAAAATTTCCCGCCACTTACAGTACCTCCGCTTCTTCTTTACAATTAAAATAAATTACAAACTCATCCTAGGGTGTGCCCCAAGGTTATGTTATGGGACCAGTGAAGTAGTGACTGAAGACTGGTGTACGCGGTCACGGTAAGCGAAGTCYGTATTGTCTTCGGTCAGCTGGTATGTGGATACCCCGTATGGTATCCCAGAAGGCTGTGTTACGATCATCTGCTGTTCAACCGGCTTTTTTCTGTCAATCAAAATAGATATACCTCATATTAGACATTTTTGGGTGGAATATGGGTGGATATTTTGTCGATATTTTTTGAAATGGTTTTTAAAACCGGTTTTTTACTGTAGAAAATAACTTAGAGTACAAATATCGCAGAATATTTGTACTTACCAARAGAATATGAACAAAGAGAAGGAATCCCCGCCCCCCATCATGAACACTCTTTGATGCTATTTTTAGAATCTTTCATGCTATTTTTAGAATCATTTGTTTGATCGCTCTACCCTGTGTTTGCTCATGTTTTCTTTTGTTTTTCAAGAAAACGTAAGCAAACAGCATAGAGCGAGCACATTATACGCGTGCACAAAAAACGATGACAAATGAGATTCTAAAAATAGCATCAAACTGTGCCTACGAGAGTTACAAGCATGAATACCAGAGATTCCTTATCTTAGTTAATTTTCTCTTGTACTCACTTTAGGCTATTTCCTGCGTTATTTGTACTCTAATTTGAATAGTTGGATAATAAAGGTATTTAGTGAATGCTTCATCAGTAGGCAGAACTGAATAGAATCTCGAGAGAGAGAGAGAGATGAAGCTACCTTGTTAATCTATCCCATAGAGACTGTGTCCACCGTAGAAAGTTAAAATCACCAGCAATTCCTAAAAAATATACAAAGAACTGAATTTTATTTGRCGTATTTTAATAATATTGTTTTAGATTGTCGTTCCAAAATCAATTTGATTGTCTATTTGTAGTTTTTTGTTTGTTTGCATGTTTTTTTTTTGTTTGTTTTCCTTTCTTTGGATTTGTTGGTTGGTTGGTTGGTTGGTTGGTTTGTATGTGGGTGGCGTGGTTGGTTGAGTTAGGTTGTTTGGTAGATTGGTTGGTCGGTTGATTTGTTGGTCGGTAGGTCGTTTGGTCGGTTGGTAGGTCGTTTGGTCGGTTGGTTGGGTGGTGGGTTGGTGGGTCGGTGGGTCGGTGGGTCGGTGGGTTGGTGGATTGGTTGGGTGGTTGGTTGGTTGCTTGGCTTTTTGGGTGACTGGTTGTTGGTCGGTTGGTCGGTTAGTTAATAATCAACTGGTTGCACTCATTTACCTTTAGATAAGCTTGGATTGGCTTGACCAATATAAATATACACAATAAGCGTCAGAGAGATGTTAGCTAAGGCGTATCCCCAGTGAATCAGAAACATGATTAAAACACTAATAAAAGCCTGGCAAACAGAAAGATAACAAGTCAGAAGAATGTAACTAAATCGTTACCATTTAACTCAAACACCACGTGATTGCTGCTCAACCAATCAGAATTCTCGACAGAATATAAAAGTTCAGCCTGACCACGAATTCAAGCACGTGATTGCTACTCATCCAATCAGAATGCTCGACAGAATATAAAAGTTCAGCCTGACCACGAATTCAAGCACGTGATCACTACTCATCCAATAAGAATGCTCGACAGAATACCATCCATCATGTATTCCATATGACTATGGAAATATATGGTTTTGCGCAAGATATTTGCATATAACTCTTACCCCTGAGAGAGACACCCATCTATTGCATAGATCTGAGTAGTACGATGAAGGCTGCTTKACTATTTCCCACTCTATCTGATGTTCTTCACTGTAGGACTTTTTATATTCTGGAGGACGAATACACAATGTATAAGTTTTGAAGKCATTACTTTGTTACCAAGGATACTGAAATATTAGCTCATCCAACCTCCCCTCCCCCACAACTTTTTCATTCCACAGTTAGGTAACAAAAAACTGTATATAGGAATGTTAAACTTAAAACTTTTTCTACAAATAGTCTAGAGAGCATACCAAAGGAAAACAATACAAAGGCGGGCAGAAAATATATTTTACTGTATTGACTTGGCTTCAACTATATTCATTGAACTTTCCAAAATATTATCGTCTAATACTTTGGGCTCAATCGGGCTTCCTATGAGTTAACACGTGACCTTTAACCGAGATACCCAATCAGCCCCGGCATGCAGCACGTCAGATCAAGGATGTTTCGTTTTATCACGCAGTACCTTTGCGTTAGAAGTGTGAGTTTGAGATCCCCCATTCAGATCTCGTACCAATAACGTTTATTTTTTTGAAAGACTGAGGTGTATTACATGCAATAGTCCCCTTCACAGTTCAAGGCGCCATCTTGAAAGGTAGCCGTGCCTTTGMATCGAAGCGAGACGAACGGTGAGCTTGCAATGATAGAGACCTTTTCTTAACACCTTGTACAATTATTTACATGTCTCGCTTCGATGTAAAGGCATGGCTATCTTTCAAGATGGCGCAGGAAACTGTGACGGGGACTATTCAAGCGTGGTGTTTGATACCTTTTTCTTTAGAAGAAACTTTACTAGGTTTGTCTTTCTTCTCTTTCTGTATCAGTGACGTGGTATCACTGTCATCATCGTTTGTAGGATGAAGTACCCCACTGTCCGCCGGYCCATCYTTACTTCCTTCRATATCTACTTTCAATTCKTTCTTCTCCTCACGCRTTYCTTCGTCTTTTTTGTCTTTGTCTGCATTTTCTCGCTCCATCGAATCATCTTTTTCACTATGTTCCTTTATCGGTCCGATCTTTCCGGATTCCTCTGTTCCAGTTCCRTAATTCAGTTTTACAAATTTCTCGTCATCGCGCAGTCTAGTCGTAGAGTGCTTCTCCTGTCGACGCGTCATGTCCATGAGTTTTCGATGCTGTTGTATGTCGTAACTCATGGCAAGTTTGAAGTACGCGTAGTCSACTGCTGCGTAGGTGATGAGGTAGGGCATGGTGACTATAGGCGCAAGGGCGTTTAATTTACCAACGAAGATAAACAACATGGCGATRACAGCTACAAAGATGGAGGCAATGTAGGGCTCTTTGTTGGCTCCTCGCTGAAGAGACACAAAAATAACGATTAAAATAAGGACTGTACTTACAGAGAAAAGCTGAGACCAATAATTAAGTAAAGCGCTCAAGTATGACACGTTAAGCTTGTACATGCCATAACATTTTTTAAAATGGCTTCACATCGTACATTTAAAAAGGTTTGTCTCTGACTTATAAAAATGTTGATGTTTTTGTGCATAGCATTCGGTCCTCCAACAAAAACCTTCATCAGGCTTTTCATCATTGTTTTCGCTCGAATTTTCCAATCACAACACGTAGTTAAACCACAAGTTTGCTCTATCGTTTCCCACTCATACCGCTTTAACTGATTTCAAGAGACCATGACGAACCTTCATCGTCTCTTGCTGATTTACTTACTTCTTTACCGAGGGTCTTCAAGATAGGGATGACGTTTTCCTGGCCGATGACTTGTAACACTCTGGGCGCCCCGTACTGTGCACCAAGGCAGGAAGACAATGATGATACATACAGGCCAAACAGAAACAGTACACCTACTAATGAAACCTGCACAAGACGAAAACCAACGCTTTAGGAAAGCAAAATGTGAATGTGGAAGGAGTGCCAAAAAGTTAGAGAACCATTCAATTTGCATGAGGGAGTTTAA